ATACAGAAATATTCATACCTTGTGCGGGTGGTTAACAAGTGGAATGTACTGGCACAAGAAGTTGTGGAAGGAAGTATTTATCAAAGGAAGGCACCAAGCCGGGACGGTTATGTAGCACACAAGTTGTGGAAGCCAAGGTCAAAGTACGATAAATAAACAATGAGGTAAAGAGTGTGAGGTAACCACCAGCCCTCATAACCCTGAGGTAAGAGAGGCAGCAGAGGTAATCCCAGCTTTAATTTATGTGAGTGTGAGAACGCTTCACCACAGGAGCGCGGTGGTGTTACACAAGGCATCAATATCATCCTCCTGACTGCTACATCAACGCCTCCTGCCTCTCAGCATCACTGCACCGCCTCACACACCTTGGTAACACCATCGCTCCATCAATGTCAGCAAGAGAGAACAACTGCCTTCACCGTTACTGCCCTCAACACGTGCAAGTGTTGAGAGAGAGGCGCAGCAGCAACACACAAGAATGTTAAGAGAGAGGCAGCAGCAGCAACACGCAAGACACGACAGATGAAGGCTACGTCGTGTAAGTGCGTGTGAGGTGTCACAGTGCATGTCTCCTTCTCTTGCTGGTTACTGAGTGGCATCACACTCTTCTCACACTAAATTACCTCCTGCGTGTTCCTCAAGTATCTTAACAATCTCTCACACTCTCTCTCTGTCGTATCCAGATGTAGTAGAGTGCAGTTAACTTGGCACCAACTGAACATTGACCAGTTTGAAGTCTTATATTTTCGGGTGGTGGGCGGGGTGGTGGGTGGATGTGGGTGGGTGGATGTGGGTGGGTGTGTGTGGGCCGGGTGGTGGGTGTGTGGGTGTGCGGGAGGTTAAACACAGACGTCACATATGGGTGAGAGTGCCGCTGGGGAGCCCAGATACACCCTCAACTGTGAACGGATATCCCCTCCCCCCTCTCTCATCTTCCCCAAAATAATAAAAAGTGGACCATCACCTCGTCCCTTCACAAGGGAAGCCTTGCCCTAGAATGCCGCCTCTGGGACTCTTGCAGCTCCCGGCTGTCTCCTTCTTCTGCCGTTGCGTATTTTAAACACTGGGAAATCCCGGGTAAAAAAAAAAGATAGCGCGGGAACCATAAAAGTTGATGAGGATTGCGGCAACATTTGCCCGTGTGCGTTGGTGCGCTGTCTCCCTGCACCGACACTGTCCAGAGTAATGACCCGCGGTGTGGCACCGCCGCGCGCATCAACCATCATAACTTACGTGCCTTAAACCAGGCCTTTATATTCCTCCACATTATCGCCCCGAATATTTTAGCCTTTATCTTCCCTTCAAAAACGTGTATCTTTTATTTTCTTTCTGTAATACACAGGGTTGAGATCATACATTCCCTCGCTGCCAGACGTGTGTGGATTTCTTACCCTCGCTGCCAGACGTGTGTGGATTTCTTACCCTCGCTGCCAGACGTGTGCGTATTTCTTACCCTCGCTGCCAGACGTGTGCGTATTTCTTACCCTCGCTGCCAGACGTGTGCGTATTTCTTACCCTCGCTGCCAGACGTGTGCGTATTTCTTACCCTCGCTGCCAGACGTGTGCGTATTTCTTACCCTCGCTGCCAGACGTGTGCGTATTTCTTACCCTCGCTGCCAGACGTGTGCGTATTTCTTACCCTCGCTGCCAGACGTGTGCGTATTTCTCACCCTCGCTGCCAGACGTGCGTATTTCCTTCCCTCGCTGCCAGATGTGTGCGTATTTCCTACCCACGCTGCCAGATGTGTGCGTATTTCCTACCCTCGCTGCCAGACGTGTGCGTATTTCCTACCCTCGCTGCCAGACGTATGCGTATTTCCTACCCTCGCTGCCAGACGTGTGCGTATTTCCTTCCCTCGCTGCCAGATGTGTGCGTATTTCCTACCCACGCTGCCTGCCAGGTGTATGCGTATTTCCTACCCTCGCTACCAGATGTACGATCCATGCCTCGCTGCTAGACATATGTACGATACATGCCTCGCTGCCAGATGTATGTACGATCCATGCCTCGCTGCCAGATATATGTACGATACAAGCCTCGCTGCCAGATGTATGTACGATCCATGCCTCGCTGCCAGATGTATGTATGTTTCCATGCCTCACTGCCAGATGTATGTATATTTCCATGCCTCGCTGCCAGATGTATGTATATTCCCATGCCTGGTGTTGCCCTATGCCCCACTGCCAGACGACCATCTTCCTGGAAGCAGACAGGCAGCAGCAAGGTTTGGAGAGGGACCTACATACTCTACCTGCTAAAAATTACGCACCTTGTCTGTAATACGGCTGCCTTATTTCATCACCAAGTAATGGTGTTAGGTAATGTGTGAGTGCGTGAGATGACATGACTCATGTACTCACCCAACTAGGTGAGTACATGAGTCATGGAGGCGGTCACAGAGGCAGGCATGAAGGGAGGAATGTTGAATGCACTTCCTGGCGCCACAACGGACTCTTGTCGTATACAACAAAAGCCTAGGGCACCCAAACATCGTACTGC